GATTCAATGAAATGCTAAAAGGAGTAAGAAAATATACTTTCAGCGCTAACAGTTGAACCAACATTTTTCCGTGCTCTGAAATTAAAATATGACATCTGAATGCTACTGTAAACAATTTTTCTCTTTTTTTTCCTATAGCTTTTTTAACGAAAGATGCACACATATACAAACAGATAGATGCAATGAACAATAAATAAATAAACCTTGCCGAATACCAACTGATCGAACTGCAGCTGCGGGTGCGTCATTAGATGACTTCAAATTTTAGCCCTGCGGATACCAGTAACACTACCACTACACCAAAAGCAATGCACTTCGGTCTCTCAATAATTTTAATAATGGGATTTACAGTTGGCTGTGTACATCCGCTCAGTAGACGTAGAGACCTCATTTTAATCCGTTTTCTTAAAAAGAAAATCAATGGGATGTAATAGAGAGTATCCAACCTTTATGTTTTCAAGCAGAACATTAAATCTGTTGAAAGTGTATAGAATTGATTGAGCGAGAGGGAGTGAGTGAGAGAGAGAATTGCACACAAGAATGTAGAGAATGAATGAGCGGAATCTTTATTGATCAATGCGGTACAATATATAGATGGGGAAGGGGTGGCAACCAGAGACGCGATGGTTGGGAACCATCGCGTCCATTGCCAAGGAGCACCTAGGGAAGGCGCGGTTGCCTTCGGTTGCGATCCATCCTTTTATATGGATAAGATCACCCTGTTGTTTCATAACACTCCCCCTTATCGAATCTAGCTTTGATCATTGCTGTTTCACTGTTCCAGATATCTGTAAAGATAATCTTAGAAATAATTATAGTTAAATACATCACGTAAAACCCCTCGAAAACCCAGTGGGAAAAATAAGGAGAGAACCGTGATATATATTATTGACTATTTTAGATCTATGAGTAAAGCTCATAGTATGATCCAAAATAGTATAATGTCTACAGTTATCATTTAGTAAAAACCCCAGTGGGGAAAAGCCAAATGATAAGACATATAACTTATGTTGATATTACCTCGTTAAAAACTTTGGATGAGAAAACCTAAAGGGTAAAACTCATACAAAGGAAAAAGAGTATAATATGACGAAAATAGGTTATTTTCTAGAGGAAGATACTCCCCATGAATCCTGCAAATTTTTGAGTTGTCTCATACCAATTCCTTCGACACATTTAAAGAATGTGGAGTATGGTAGAGATTTTGTGAATAAATCAGCAAGATTATTACATGACTTAGTTTGCAAGATGTTTATCTCTCCATGTTGCTGAAGCTCATGAGGATAAAATAATTTAGGAGCAATATGCTTAGTGATGTTGCTCTTAATATAACCAGTTTCCATCTGAACAACACAAGTGGCATTATCTTCATAGATAATGGTAGGTGATTCCAATGAACCAATACCACAAGATGTTAATATGTGGTTAACCATTCTGCGAAGCCATACATATTCATGTGATGCCTCATATAATGCAATTATTTCAGAATGATTTGTGGAAGTGGCTACCAGAGTCTATTTAGAAGACTTCTATGAAATAGCAGTTCCACCTTGTAAAAATACAAATCCTATTTGTGATCTAGCATTGTGGGGATCAGATAGATAGCCAACATCAGTATACCCAATTAAAGTTGAATCCTGGTTCTTTTTAAAGAAAAGTCCAAGATCTCTTGTGCCATTAAGATATCAAAAGACATTCTTAACTCCAGTCCAATGGCGTTTGGTAGGAGCAGCGCTGTATCTTGCTAATAGATTTACCGAGAAAGCAATATCTGGCCTCGTACTATTTGCAAGGTACATAAGTGCGCCAATAGCACTAAGATATGGAAAATCAGGACCAAGTACATCCTCTCCATCTTCCTTTGGTCTAAATGGATCTTTCTCCACGTCTAAAGATCGAACCACGATAGGGGTTTTGGAAGGATATGACTTGTCCATATTAAATATCTCCAAAATTTTCTGGGTATATGCACTTTGGTGCACAAGGATTCCAGAAGGTAAATGCTCAAGTTGTAGACCTAAGCAAAATTTGGTTTGACCCAAATCCTTCATCTCAAATTCCGTCTTTAAATGATGACGTGCTTCATTAATATCTTGTGTGTTGCCAATGATGTTGAGATCATCGACATATACCGAGATAATACAAAATCCTGTGGAGGACTTTTTGATAAAGACGCACGGGCAATCATCATTTTTAGTGTATCCCTTTAGTGAAAGGAATTCACTTAATCGGTTGTACCACATCCTGCCCGATTGTTTTAAGCCATAAAGTGACTTCTGCAACTTAACACAATACATGTTACGATTTACCTTCTGATTCGGGATGTCGATTCCATCAGGAACCTTCATGTAAATATCAGAATCAAGTGACCCATAAAGATATGCTGTCACTACGTCCATCAACTGCATAAATAGACGATTTTGTACTGCCAATGATATTAAATATCGGAAAGTTATACCACTCATAACTGGAGAGTAAGTTTCGTTGAAATCAACGCTAGGTTTTTGCATAAAACCTTGTGCTACAAGCCTTGCTTTATATCTCACCACCTCGTTGTTTTCATTCCGTTTCCGAATGAAAACCCATTTGTATCCCACAGAAAAGATACCACGAGGAGTAGGCATTACAGCCGAGAATACATCTCTTTTGTAAAGCGAGGCTAATTCTGCGTCAATTGCGTCCTTCCATTTGTTCCAGTCAGAGCGCTTTTGGCACTCTTTTATAGACCTAGGTTCTGAATCAACTTAGAGGCAATCAGCAATTTGTTCAGAAAAATTAATGTCGACAATTGTAGCTCTTCAATCAAAAGATTCTCCAGTTTCAGAGTAGTTGATGGCAATTTCATCAACCCTTATAGACTCATTGTGATCTCCCAAAACAATGTGTCTATGGTCTTCCGAATTCCTAGTCTCAGCATTGTGCACCACCGAGCTAGGTTGCAGACTATCACGATCTGCTTGATATATATTATCAATTTGGTGTGTACAAACTAAAGGTTGGTTTGCATTTACCATGTTTGTTTGCTTATTAGCAATTGTTTCTCGCTGAGTGGCCATACTTCTTCCTCTCTTTTTAGTGAGTGGAAGTTGAGTGGTTTTATTTGGTACCTCCACTCTTTCTGGCGCATTCTGAGCGGGAATGAAAGATTTAGTCACACCTTTTTAATTGGTAAATGCATCTGGCAGGTTATTTGCAAGTCTTTACAAATGTATAATTTTCTGAACTTGAAGTTCAGTTTCAGTAGTACGTGGGTCTAAGGCGGGAATACCTTGGGCATCCCAATCAATTTCCTGGCATTCTTTCTGGCACTTGAAGTCTCCCCCTAATGCCGGGAAATGTTCCTCGTCAAAGATAGAGTCAGCGAACCGGGCAGTAAATAGATCACCTGTTGGGTTCTAAATACTTTATGATCGACGGAGATTTGAATCCCACATAGATCCCCACATTCCTGTGTGGGCCCATAGCGGTACGCTGTGGTGGTGAGATCGGTATGTATACAGCAAATGGGAAATACTTGGAGGATTTCCACGTACTAAATGCATTGGGGAAGTTTCATGATATGCAATTGGTCGTAGTTGGACAAGGTCAGCAGCGTGCAGAACTGCATGACCCCAACACGACGAAGGTAATTTGCAATTCATCAATAATGGTCGAGCAATAAGCTTAATTCTTTTGATCAATGATTCAGCCAAACCATTTTGTGTGTGGTCATATGGAACAGAGTGCTGAACCTGAATTCCCAATGCCATACAATAATCATCGAAAGCATGGGATGTAAATTCGGCAGCATTGTCCATACGGATTGATTGAATCCTATGTTCAGGGTAATTTGCCTTCAGCCTTATAATTTGAGACATTAATTTGGCAAAGACATGGTTTCGTGTCGATAGAAGCCACACATGAGACCATCTAGTAGATGCGTCAATCAAAACCATAAAGTACCTGAACGGTACAGGTCTTGGCACAATAGGGCCACAAATATCTCCTTGAATGCGTTCAAAGAATTTAAGTGGTTCGGCTCTAATTTTGAGATAAGATGGTCTCAAAATCAGTTTCCCAGTAGCACATGCAGTGCATACGAAATCAGAGGATTTGGGAAATTTGTCAGTGATCAAATGATGACCAACAGAGTTGCCAATAATTTTTCTCATCATCCCGATACCGGGGTGGCCAAGTCGATCATGCCAAGTGTGGAATGCATCAACATTTTGAAAAATTACTTTGTACGCAACATGTGCAATGGGCTTAATGTATGTATAGTACAATCCCGATGTGAGTGATGGAATTTTCTCGCAAATGCGTTTGCCATATCCGTTTTGTTTGGTTAAGAGAAGAAATTCTTCTCGATTATCCATATGGGTTTCAATGTGAAACCCATTTTGACGGATATCTCTATAACTTAGTAGGGTACGGGTTGAATCAGGATACAATAAAGCATTTCAATTTTAATTTGTGTACCCATTGGGAGTGTAATAATTGCTCGTCCTGAGCCAACTATCACAGTATCGCGCCCAGCGATAGTCAAAACTTTGCCTTCTCTCTTTTTGAGAGTTTGAAAGTATTTAATCTCTCTAAGTATAGAGTTTGTGGTACCACTGTCCACAAGACATAATTCCTCTCCAATCGGAGCGATATCCTTAGACATCTATAATGAAAGAAGAATTGCTTGATTAAGAATTCTTTATCCAATATATATACATACATACAATAATTAAAACATCAAATACATAGGATGACGTTTACATATGTTAATAGTACATACTCTAATGACTAGCAAGCCATACAACCTTACAATATAAGGGAGTTCGTACTTATCTACTTATTACAACCAATATTGTTTGGCAAACTTATAGGATATCAATATACTGTTTCAATCACACTGAGATAAGAGCAGCTTCATCTCCAAGTGTGACGCACCGAGATCATTGCAAATCTCCAAGTGGGTCCGTTGAGCAGTATTCGATGAACATATCGTCCATCGCAGAGAGTGGAGCGACATCTTATGGGAGAACATTGAGGTTGCTCTCTGGTTCAACAGGAGCCTGGTGAGAACTTGCAACCTTAGGGCGCTCTTCATGTGTAAGATTGAAGTAGGCTTCAAATCTTGGGTTCTCAGAAGACTTTTTGTCCTTGAGGGATTTTTGGTACAAGAGAACAAGATGTTTCGGGATGCGGCAGTCTTTAGCGACATGAGTGTCAGATCCACACCTGTTGCAATGCTTGTTGCCATTGCTACGAGGTTGTGGTGCCTTACCCTTCCCTTTTCCTTTCTTTCGACCCTTGAATTTGCGCCTGTTGTTGTTGCGTTTGCGCTTTCCAGTCAGATTCTTAGGATTATTCGAAGAATTTCCCTTGAATCCTTTCTTATTCTCAGCATTATTCTGTACATTGAAGTGCACCTCAGGCAGTGGAGTAGAGCCCGGTGGGCGCTGTTGGGCATTCTTTAAAGAAAGCTCATGGTGTCTTTCTGCCTGAGTCAATGTATGTATAAGCAGATAATGTTTCTGGAAAATGTTAGCGCGATACTGTTGAGTCAGTATCCTGTCCTCCGGAAGCATAGTTGATAGAGTTTTCTCTATCTTCTCTGCCTCCGTTGGCTCTTGTTTGCAAAACTTCAACCTGGAACAAATGTTATGAACAACATGGTTGTATTCTGCCACAGTTTTAAAGTCCTGTAGGCGTAAATGAACCCACTCATAATTAGCCTCAGGCCAAATGAGTTCCTTTTGCTGGTCATAACGCTCTTTTAGAGCTTTCCAAAGGTTGAGAGGGCTCGTCTCTAACATGTATTCATGTTTGAGATCCTTGTGAATGTAGAGTCTCAAAAGAAAAAGGGCTGTATTGAGCTTCCTGGGCTCAATTTCCGGGTCCCCATCATTGGGTTCCTCAATTGTATTTAAAATCCCCCGAGAGGCAAAATTGATTTTAATATCAGAAGCCCAGATAGGATAGTTAGTCCAATCGAGGGCGAGTTCGTCGAACTCTTTTGTTGCCATGTCCCTACAATCATGGTTAACATTATCAATTTACAGAGGTAAATTAATAAAAACATGATATTAAGGTTGTAATCTCAATGCGTAATGTAAAACTTCATATTTTGTAATCTTTCGAAAAATGCAGGTAATAGACCTGACAATTTTGAGTTAGAATTCGAAATTAGGTGGCACAATGTGGATAATCTCCAAGTAATTAAACAGTAGAGTAGATCTCTTAATAGTGGGCAAGTTATACTTGCTGCCTAAAACATGGTCTCCAGGCAAATATATTCTGGTGAATATACCGCAGCCATTGTTTAGGACTCCACTACCTTGTGTTCAACCAAATTTCAAATAATCTCATTTTTCGAAACATATTCTCGGAAAATAACACATGTGGGTAATCATCGTGAGATGTAGACCTCTGTGAGATGGGTGAAATGCTCGCTGCCTAGGTTATGACCAGTGCGATCAATTTGTAGGACTCCATCGGGTAATCATCTCAAAATGTAGACCACTTGATAATGGGCGAGATACTCGCTGCCTAAGTTATGGTCGATATGACCAAAGTATAGGATTCCATCGACATGTGATTAATTTCCAAGTCAAAATGTGAAGTGGAACATGCATTAAATCCTCCATTAATTATGTTGTACATAATTAAGAGAATTTGCTAAATCAAAGTACAAAATTTATAGAATTTTGTAAATTAATAAAACGAGAAAGTAGAGCGTGTCTTGAAATAATATGCAAAAGGCATGTTATTAAGACAACAAATAAATTTAGTGAAATAGGGTATTTGAATAAACACCTATGTTAATTAACACATAACATAAGTAGTCTATTGGACCATTACATAATAATATGAAGAGCTGATGAACTGTTTCCACTAAATTATAGAAAACATAGGGACTAAAATGTAATTGCTGCTGAAAATAAAATTAAAAACTAAATTTAAATGGTAAATTGGGTGGTGGGCCGAAATCTAAAGGATTCGGCCCACTACCGTGCGGCATTGGGCTGGCAAAACAAGGGGCAGCGGGGGCGCTAGGGCGCGGCCCATTAGGCCCGACAGCAAAAGGGCACCGGGGGGGGGGGGGGTGGCGTCCGGGGGGGGGGGGAGTTAGGGTTAGAACCATAACCGCCCCCCGCGGGATTTCCGCCGCCGCCTCTGTGCATTTCGCCGCCGCCGCCGTCGCCTTTCCGTTGCCGACGCCGCCGTGGGGCACGCCGCCGACGCCGCCGTTGGGGGCGCCGCCGACGCCGCCGTTCGGGGCGCGGCCGACGCCGTCGAGGTACACCGCTGATGTCGCCGTTGGGGGCGCTGCCGCCGCAACGAGATGCGTCGCCGCCGCAACGAGATGCGTCGCCGCCGCTACCTCCATTTCCACCGCCGCCACACGCCGCCACCTCCCTTCAGCCGCCGCCACCGCCTGCATCCACCATCCGCCACCCAGCGCCATCGCCGTCCACCATCATCTGTCGCCTCGGCCGCCCCTCCATCTGCCGGCGGTTGGCCAGTCGGATTAGGCCGATGGCTCCCGATCCTCGTCGGAGTTGGAAACCAGCCGAGCCCGGATGCCATTCCCTGGCACCCCGTTAGGGAGTGTATGGCTAGGAGAGCCATGGGGAACGGCGATGAAGGTGTGGCGGAGGCCGGGACGGCGAGCGGCGGCTTCACCTGCGTGACGACGAGACGAGGACGGATTGAAGAAGGGCGGCTCCCCCGTGCGCGCAGCCAGGGTACCGGTCCGGCCGGACTCCGGTGGCGCAGGCGTGGGGGAACGGCGTCGGCGTCGGCTTGGTGTCGGTGGAGGTGGTGAGGTAGCGATTGATGGTGGCGGCAGCGACTCCATCTTCGGGGAAAGATCACATGGCTCGCCAGGCAGTGTCACCACTGCCGTCCATCCGTGGTGGGCGCAGTACTGCACCCCTTGCACACAGATACGGTGAGGCACTGCGGCAACCGGAGACGGAGACGGAGGCGGAGGAGGAGGAGCAACCAGAGTTGCAGCCACCATGATGCGTCAGCGAAGGTGGTGGCGACGGCCACCAACCCTAGCCCGACGTTGATGGTGTTGGTGGCGACCATGGTGGTGGTGGCGACTCCTCTCTGATCTACGGAGAAGATGGTGAAGGCGATGAGCGCGCTGATTGCGAGGGAGGCCGAGAACGGCATCCATAATCCAATGAAAGGTAGGCATCGTACCTTTTCTGATGATTCTTCTGTACGCTTTTCTGTTAGATCAAAAGCGATGTTTCTTCCTTCTTTCACTTCGCGATCTCCTTTGCGAGAGCGAAAGTGCTGATAACGTGTTGAAAGTGTATAGAATTGATTGAGCGAGAGTGATTGAGTGAGAGAGAGAATTGCACACAAGAATGTAGAGAATGAATGAGCGGAATCTTTATTGATCAATGCGGTACAATATATAGATGGGGAAGGGGTGGCAATTAGAGACGCGATGGTTGGGAATCATCGCGTCTGTTGCCAAGGAGCGCCTAGGGAAGGCGCGGTTGCCTTCGGTTGCGATCCATCCTTTTATATGGATGAGATCACCCTGTTGTTTCATAACACTCCCCCTTGATCGAATCCAGCTTTGATCATTGCTCTTTCACTGTTCCAGATATTTGACACCAAGTTGATCCTTTTTATCATGAAATTATTTAAAAAATTTTCATGCCATCAATTATTATAGGTTGGCTAAATTATTTAAAAATAATTATGACATTAAGTATCATATGTCGGCACCATGTATTTAGCACTACAATATAACTTTTATATGTGATTAATATTTTATTTAAAAAAAGGAATACAATTAGTTATAAGTTAGATATATATTTCATAAATAATTTAAAAGATGAACATTTAAATGTTTTTCATAATTTTTTTTATATTTGTTTGAATGTACGCAAAAGTGCAAGAATATAAACCAAAATCAAACATATTTATTTCAAAAGTTTGAATATTGTGAATATGTGTCTTTAACTTTAGTTATAAATAATATAACAAAAATAAGTCAATCAAAAATTCACTATATGCTTTGGATGATATTGTTCTCTATTTTTTAATAATAAATTATGATTTCTAAGTAATGTAGCATGAGAATAGGAGGAAAATAGAGGTACGGTGTGTTTGAGGGTGTGGGCAGTGGGGTGGACGAATGAGTAAGCGCCCACGTACAGGGCCGTGGTGGAGGTTGGGATATGGGTTCTATTTTTTAAAAGAAAACGATGGATCTAATGGTCATAAATATGTCTTGAGAAACTAATAATAGTTAGTCCATAGGTAGGGTTTATTTTGTCCATGTTACATGTAAACTCAGCTATTATCAACCTTACTTGTTTTAATTATCCTTAAAACGGGATGCATTTTTAATAAATGGATCTGCATCTATACCACTAAAATAAGCCCAATATATTATTAATACATAAAACATTTATATCTACTACAAACATAACTGTTTATGTCAACTCTTGTTTCTAAATCTATGAATAAATATTCTATAATTATTGTACCTAATGGTTGATAAGATAACACTGTTAAAATCAAATATGAATGCCCCCTTTAACGGGTAATAAAGCCGACTATAGTCGCCGAGACTTTATTTCTCCACTGCCTTTAAACATAGGTCTCGAGTCAACGTAGTCGTGCCCCTCAAGGTCAACATGGAGTATGATGTTAATCCCTAGTTCACTATAAACACCTTCATATATCGATGATCGCATCAGTAAATAGAAAGTTAAGCATTATTGTAAATGGTGGCCCTCTGCTCGGGTAGCCTCAACTCAGCCATATGTGACCCTTGCTATACTCATGGCAACATAGCATGCTTGGTGCCCTTCAAGGAAAAACAGAGAGAGAATGTACATGATGAAAGTATTTTTCCAATAACAAATAGTTTTTTTTAAGTTTTGTGTGTTAATCAGTACTGCTTATTTTTTTATGGTATATATACAACTATCTATTTTTTGAAATGAGCGAGTTTGATCATTCAAAAATGGCTAAATGGATATCCGACCATGACAATCTTCAGAGGACTATATCATTGTTTATAATTTGATAAAGATCTATAGTTTAGCGCCTACTTTGTTTTTTTCATGTATTGTTCATAATTGCATGATACATCTTTACTACTCCTAAGAATATATTTATTTTTTTCCAAAATTATTTAAAGTAACTAATTCATTGGAGTGCATTTATAATCACTTCAGTGGGGGTATATGGCATACATCATCAATTATGTCCGACGTATTAGAATTTCTAAACTATAAGAAAATATATGATAAATAGTTTAATGCATAGGATTGTTGATTTGTTACCAAAACTATTTGGCAAAGAAAAAACATATATGACCATAATTCACGTGATGGGTTAAGGGATTGTATTATAGCAAGATCATTCCCTGGACATTCCAACCAAATAGTTCTGAAAAATTATAAAAAAATGAGAAAAGCCTCACATATATTAAAATTAAATCAGATCTAAACTGAAAAACCACAATGTTGTTTCACTCTCCCTGCATGTAGATATGAATTAGTGTTATATATTTATCGAGCAATATTTGACACCAAGTTGATCCTTTTTATCACGTGAAATTATTTAAAAAATTATCATAACATTAATTATTATATGTTGGCTAAATTATTTTAAAATAATTATGACATTAAGTATTATATGCCGGCACCATGTATTTAGCACTACAATATAACTATTATATGTGATCAATATTTTATTTAACTGAAGAAATATAACCGATTATAAGCTAGATATATATTTCATAAATAATTTAAAAGATGAACATTTAAAGACAGATGATTTGATACTTTATATTAATCTTGTTTAAACCGTGCATATATATGAATATACGCGGAGTAATAAATTTTATTTTATAATATAGAAAATTCTACTTTAAAACCGTCGTTCTATCAGCATACAGCGTAGTATGTTTTTTTCTGGCTTTATAGCTATACGTATGTATGTTTGTTTGGTTTTTTTAAATGAACAATACATATGGGTATATCTGA